CAACACATTCTCACTCCCAACTCGGTCTATGTTGACGTTATGTCAGTGTCCCTGTCGTCACTTTCCAACGCAAGGGGGGGCCCTTTAGCGTCAGGTTTTAACTATCGGGGAGTCCCATTGACTTGCATAGAGCTCCCTGAACGTTGGTAATAGACGAGTTGGGATCGCGGCAAAATGCTCTCCACAGATCCATTCTCACAGCGTTTATCAACCTTTTTCTTACTCAATATCAAGCCACGCTTATTGTGTTTACTTCTTTATTTTAATTGAATAATGTCTGACTTTTGGTGCCGTCAGTTAGGGGGAGAGTAGGGGCTCAGAAAACTGAAATCTGTATTGTTTCATCGTTTTTTCCTTCTAATTTTGTATTATTTTCTATGTTCATGTTAATTTACAAACTTTTCAACTACAACCCTAGTTATATTTAAAAACCTTTTAGAAGGCCTCACGAAATACTTTAATGTAAATTTAAATTAAAATGTGAAGGAATGTGTGTATAACAAAGTACATCCGTCATAAACAATACTGGAAACAGACGTAGGCAAGATCCTCAGCTCAGTGATTGGATGTTTTAGCCGCAATGCACGCTGGGATATGGTGTTTATGCAATGTGAAATCCGAAAAGATTTTTTAAAAATAAAATAATACTTTATTCCGAGTGTGCTTGTTTTGTGGCACACATAATTGTGCCACATCCATCATATCAGTCGACTCGTCAAACGAGAGAAAAACACTCACAGGCGCTAATATCCCTCTTCAGTTGCTCCTCAACGTCCTCCGACATCAACTCACACCGCCGTGTAACGGTATTCCGGGACAATTGCACATCCTTAATAGCCGTGATGATGTCCGCCTTATTTTTACTGTCCCAAAAAAGCGCGTCGGCAGCCTCCAGGAATGCTTCTTTCACAACTTCGCCATCTTTGAAAGACTTCATGTGTTTCGCAAGAACGTGACTGATACGATAAGATGCTCTGGTAGCAGCCTTGCTCTTGTTGTTGGGCCTGGTGAAAATGGACTGCTGTGCATTTAGCTGTCCTTTCAGGCCCCTCCCCTTTTGGAGCGTAGGGCAGAATTAGGAGGGAATTCCGTCTCGTAGCGTTTGTGCACTGTTTTGAAATGCCGCTCCTAAATTACCCTTCTTCGATAAAGCCACGCTCGCATTGCAGATGAGACAGATGGACTTTGAATTGGAATAAACAAAAAAATAATCATATAAACAAAAAAATAATCATCCTCCCACTCGGAGTGAAATTTATATATTTTGGGCTTTTTTGCTTCTGCCATAATTGTGGTCTTGTGTGTGTGCGGACTGTCACTCCTGTTGCCACGGACAACGTCAGCGAACCAGTGCCCACTGCCCACCAGCCACGCCCCGACACATGGGGTCACGCCAATCACAAAGCTTTGATGCGTTCAAGTGCATTATTCTGGCACAGGAAGATTATGTTATAGGACATTAACGATAAAACAGAATATTGTTGTTCTATTTTTAGACACATCTCGCGATCGACTGGTTGGGCACCCATGATCTAAGTGAAGAGGTCACGCACTCTAGCCCTGAAGAGTCCGTCCCATAGACAACCATTATAAAACTTAAAACGGCCTGAAAATTTACCAAATCTTAAACATTGATAATTCAAGAACTGTAAAAGATATCAGAAACCTGAACACAACTGTAATAGCTGAATCTACTTGTGTAATGTATAAAATATGTGGAACGTGTTGAAGTCAGTATGAAGTCTCCATCAGACAGAAAATAATAGGCTGAGACGGTCTGTTAAACTCCAGTCTGTTTGTTTGTGTTTGAGGTGACAACGTTATCAAACACCTGTGTGTGAGCCCAGAGATCAAAGGTTACCATGGTGACAACGTTATCAAACACCTGTGCAGAGATCAAAGGTTTCCATGGTGATGTGCAGTGATCAGTGAAAGGAGAGCCTTTCCATTGTTCTGAATGAACTTTTGTTGAAAACCGTAGCAGCTATCGGTAACATTTCTACGCGTGGAGCTTGTCAGGACCCCGAGGAGCGTCTCAGTCTGCTTTTTGTGTACTTTTGGGTCAACAGCATACCATCCAACGGCAAACCATCCAACCTCCTCAATAAACTCCAACATATCCAGAACTCTGCTGCCCGCCTCCTCGCCTGGGGCCTCATTTATAAAGGGATATACGCTCAAAAAATGGCGTACGCCAGTTCCTACGCATTGTTTGCGATTTATAAAATGCTAACTTGACGGGAAAACGTGCGGTCCTCCACGCAAACTCTAACCCATGCGTACGCACTAAGCACAAAAACGGGAGAGACGAGAAACTGCGACACCGTTGGCAGAAGGAAGAATGGAGAGAAATATGTGGAAATGATACCATAAACAAAATGTTACCTCTCATTTATCATATATGAAGAATTCATTTTCAAACATTGATTAAAGCCAATCTTAAAATGATTAAACAAACGCCTGTTTGAGACTCCTCAGTGCTCACAAAAACATAACTTGGAGAAATAAATAAATACGGATACGTTATTTAAAAACACCTCGAATATGTTTTCTCATAAATGATGCGGTTTTGTATTTCTAGGTTGTACGAGCATGGTTTTATATACTACCATGTTTAATCATGTTTTATGCCGTTTGCTAAGACTTGATAAGTCGCTCATAAAACACAGGAGGTATGGAAGCTAAGAACACCATATGTGGTAAATGGTACAGCTGATATAACACAACACATTAGTTGTATTTCCTTTAACTGGTGGATATAGAGTTGCTGCAGTGGAGACGCTGCGCACAGCTGATCGACAGCTGGGACACAAACCATACGAAAACATAATTCAGATCCAGTCGTCATGACTCCACTCCGGAGGGATTCCCCGATCACTTCTTACAGTCTCTCATCAAGGGTCCCCGGTACAAACACACTGCCTGAGGAAGGCTGTGTGTATTGTTTTTGTCATTAACCTTTTTCGGGCCATTTATTTATTTATTTTGGTGACGATCCGACCTCCATGCTGCTACTCTGGTTCAAACTGCGTCCACCAAACAATATGATTTATCTCGACCTCCCCAAAATAACCAACATCTGACACGGTGCGAGATGTCTTTTTTAGCTGTTCTGTCGTCATTTCCTGCGATCTTCTTCATGCAGTCAGTCAAAATGAATGAATGAATGGGCGTTTCTTTGACTATTTATAGGCAAATATGGGCGTTACGTGAAGCCCGCAAAAGCTGCACCGCATTTCGAGTCGGTTGTGATTTATAAAGGGAAACCGGCGTAGGAAGTGCTGTACGCACTTTCCTCGCCGGTACGCAATGTTTGGTGAATCGGAAAATTTCGGAAAATTTCTGTACCTATTTTTTGGATTTCTACTACGTAAGCAACCTTTCCACGTGAATCCTACGCACGGCGTTATAAATGAGGCCCCTGAGCACCTGCAAAAGCGCTAACAAATTAAATCTATTATTATTATTATTATTAACAATGTGGCTTTTTTGGCAGGTTTACTAAATGTGTGCCGCTGCTGCTCTGAAGAAAGATCAGGCTGAATTTACAATGGGCCTTAATGGAGACATGTTGAACGTTTTTGTCACTTCCTGCCCTCAAGAGGCATTTTGTTTAATTATTTTGCTTAATTATGTTTTTATTTTTCAACGAAGGAGAGGTGAAATATAATATCATCAAACCGGGGGTCATATTTCATTATGTATTCATTTGTATCTGAAGTTGTACACATGGATGTATAAAGAATAGTTCTACATCAAAGTTATTCTCCGTCGGGACTTCCGGCAACAATCTTGATTCTGATTGGCCAGAAGATGATCACTATGTGACAGAAGTTTTCCAAAACCGTTTCCGGTACTTCCAGTCCAATGCCGACTGCATGCGCAGCGTTAGAAAATCGGGCCAGTTGCGAACCACTGATCTAGATCCTTGGTTCCCAACCTATGGGTCACTCCAATCGGTCACTAAATGAATCAATTAAAATAAATTGATTTGGAAAAATACTTTTACTTTAAACCAATTTCACCCCCTTTTTTAAAATAACTGTTGATTTTTTAAATTACTTTTATGTATTAAAATTTAAAATACTTTCACTTTTCACTGACTTTTTAACGAAACATCTCTTGATTATTTTATTACTTTTGATCCAGTTTTCAACCAATTTTTTTGCCAAGTTTTGACATAACATGTCTTAATTATTAAATGAAAAAAAATTCTTACATTTTTAACCAATTTCACCCAAAACAATTTGAATAACTCTTGACTTCTTTAAATTAATTTTATGTATTAAAATACTTAATTTTCACTGAATTTAGCCCAGTTTTAACGAAACATCTCTTGATTATTTGTTTACTTTTTTATCCAGTTATCAACCAATTATTAAGCCCAGTTTTACCATACGGACTCTTGATTATTTGATGGATTTATGTCTAAAAATACTTGCACTTTTAACCAATTTCACCACATTTTTTTAACATAACTCTTGATTTTTTTTAATTACTTTTATGTATAAAAATACTTTCTATTTCACAGACTTTTTCCCAATTTGAACGGTACACCTTTTGATTATTTAATGCCTTTTTATCCAGTTATCGTCCAATTTTTTTGCCCAGTTTTACCATTAGGACTCTTGATTATTGTATGACTTTTATGTCCAAAAATACTTGTGCTTTTCAACACATTTTGTTGCACATATCTATTGATTTTTTAAATGACTTTATGTATAAAATACTTTCACTTTTCACAGACTTTAGCCCAGTTTTAACGGTACATCTCGTGATCATTTTATGACTTTTTATCCAGTATTCAACAAATGTTTGACTCCAAAATGATGTCCAAAAATACTTGTGCTTTTCAACCAATGTTTAGCCCATTGTTTTACGTAACTCTTAAATGACATCATAAACATCTTAGCCCAGTCTTACCATTACGACTCTTTGTTACAGGTCTCTTTGCTCACTACATCACATATTCACATTGTAAAATCTCCACATACACAGGGAAGGTTCAAAGATTTTTATTTTTCTCAGCAACAATGTGCCAAACATGTTCACAGCTACAAAACTGTCCTGTACAAACACACATTCAATGCAGAAACTCTCTTTACGCTGTTGTAATGTGTGTGTGTGTGTGTGTGTGTGTGTGTGTGTGTGTGTGTGTGTGTGTGTGTGTTATCATCATGGCTGTTTCAGTGATCTGCTTGTATTGGTCAGAGTGCAAAAAAAGATTGTTGGAGTGAACCCTGAACTGACTGAGTGTACAGAGGGAGGGTGAGCTTGGTATGTGTGATGTGATGAAGCGTGTGAATGGCCGAGAGAGAGAGAGAGAGAGAGAGAGAGAGAGAGAGAGAGAGAGAGAGAGAGAGAGAAACGTGACCAGGTGCAGGGAAATCAGCTAAAACAGCAATCAAACAAAATTAAATTTCGATTTTGCGGAAAATAAGCAGGATGTGTTGCTGTGTTTTCTTCCCTCACAAACCAACAGTATAACGTAACCTTGCATATATACACAGGTAGGTGTGAACCCCAGTGCCAGGAGATTGGGGTTAACCTGGATGTCAACTTATTAATAAAGTGTGTGTGTGTGTGTGTGTGTGTGTGTGTGTGTGTAAGCATATGAAACCTTTCAGGGAAAACCAATGTTCAGGTACGCAAACAAAGAAATATGCTTTAGTTTGACCTCGTTTCTTATGAATAATCCATGTGAACCGAGCCCTTTGAACAAACATTACACACACACACACACACACACACACACACACCGTACACACACACACACACACACACACCCTCCTTGCATGCCTCTCCCTGACAACTACCAGATGGCTCAGGGAGGGAAGACAGTGTTCAGAAATGAGTGTGTGTCTCTTACACTGGATGTGACACTGCATGGTGTGTGCATGTGTGTGCGTGTGTGTCTGGGGAGCGTAGACTAGCCTGGATGTTGTGTGTGTATCTCCTTTTGTGTGTGTGTGTACATGTTGGTGCCAGAAAGGAGGCGTGTAGGGTTGAGTCTGTGCTAGTCGATGCATGGTTTGTGCCTGCACAGCCTCTCTCACTACTCACAAATCTTTTATATGCGTCTGCGTCTTATTACTGAATGTGTGTTTTCCCCAAAATGCACCTTTCTGTGTTTGCTTGCTGAACTGTTTGGTGCTTTTATTGTGTGTTTCCGTTCAGAATGGGGCAAAATGTTTGCATGTGTAGGCCTACTTGTGAATGAATCAGTGTTTCCAAAAGACTGGTTTTCATTTGTTGGTCAACAGCTGGAAGTGTGTCTGAAAGTACAATTTGACTTCATAAAAACCCAAAATGACTTGTTTTCTTGTTAGCACTTCACTTACTATGACATTTTTGATAAAACACATCTGTTTGGCAACTCGCAAGTGGCTGGTGGTTGCATATTTAGGGAATAGTTTGACACTTAAGATGCTATTTTGCTTAGAATTAAATGAGTTTGATACTGATTTCAGAAATCTGTGTTAAATATGAAGCTGAGGTTAGCTTAGCTTAGCACAAAAAGTGAAAAAAAAGAAATATTTTAATTCTAAAGAGGACTTTTTTAAATAATAGTGGAAACATTTTATATATTCGAGTTATTTGCAGGTCAAAACTTTTAACTCAAGGTATTTTTTAATAACATTTCAGTGAGGATATTTCAATGCAAAGCAGCTCCGACCACCAAGTAGAAACTTCCACTAATGTTAAAACAAGTGTTGAATGAAACCTTTTCTTTGGATCTGAAAACCACCGCTCAGTGAACGTGTTTGTGCAACTAGTCTATTTGCATATGTCTCCTGTTCCCATAATGTGTGCGTTTTTGGTTTGCTTTTGGTTGCTTAACTGATCCTTAAAATAAAACTGAATGCAGCTTCACAAGGTAGACGAGAAAGACGAGATATTTAAAATTCTTTACAAGAAAAGAGAGAGATTTCTCCCCTTTCATCTTCTGCTGGGCTCATTCTTCAGTCCTTTTACAACATGTCTTATACAGACTGTCCCAAAAGGCACTCCATGTTGTTTCTTACAGTCCTCTTACCATATCCAGTACAAAGAAAACAATCCACTATCCTCCTCCTAAAAATGTCTTTGCATAAAATCCACTAGTGGTGTAGAAAGTCCTCCACAAAATCAAAGTGGTTTGAAGTCCAGCCAAGGTCAAATACACATTAATTAAAATCACCACAGCTCATTGTATAAACCTCATTCTCAGCCATTCATATGTACAGAACTCTCATGGCACACTTGAAAAAATAATCCACATTTTTCTTTGCTTTGGTCATTTGACTTCCTTCTGCTGTCACTCCGTAGTCCTTCTTCACATCTCACTTCGCAGAGGATTGAGTTTTTATTGTGTGTACATTCTTCGGTCTCCGAGGGGTTGATTGCTTCCCACATACAGGCTGCAGATGATGGCGACTCCTGTGTTATTTTAGGTGGTCGAATTCTTTGGGCTAGTAAGATGTTTCTGGGGTTCTTTTCTGACATCCAAAAGGAGATTTCCTCCCCCTGGAATCAACAGAAAATCCATATTCTTAACGTGTTTTTGCGTGATTGCACATGTATCTTTGTATATCTTAGTCTCAAAAGTTCAGTTTGGCTTAAGGGAGAGTAAGGAGGACTTTCTTTTCCTTTTTTTTCTACTCAAGCGAAACCTTTCCATCCTTCAGTGTCTCCGTGCGAGCAAACCTTGAGGATCCAACATCCCAAAATGACACTTTTTCCAATTGACAGACGTTCAAAAAAAGGCCCCTCACTCATTGTCTCCACCCCATTAATCCATCTCTTTCTTTCTGCCTTTTCTCAGAGGTCGAGGCGAAAGGCGCCGAAGTAGCTGGAGGAGTCGTCAGCGTTGACCATAGTCGGGGAAGAGACGGAAACGAAGAGTTCGTCGCCGGCTCTCAGCTCAAACAGTCCTCCCTGATAGACGGAGTGAAGGGCGTATTCTGCGTCTGGAGCCCAGCACTTTGTTCCCACGCCCTTCAGGAGCTGCACAGGAGAGAAAGGTAGGAAAGCCATTAACAGTATTGTATTGTATTGAAATGGAAAAATACGGTCAGTAAGAGTGATGTATTTAAAAGGAAGGAAGTAGCGGAGTACAAATACTTTGTTACTGTACTTAAGTACATGTTTCTGGTATCAGTACTTTACTCCACTATTTATTTTTCTGACGACTTTTTACTTTGACTTCTTACATGTTGAACACAAATACCTGTACTTTCTACTTCTTACATGTTGAACACAAATACCTGTACTTTCTACTTCTTACATGTTGAACACAAATACCTGTACTTTCTACTTCTCACATGTTGAACACAAATACCTGTACTTTCTACTTCTCACATGTTGAACACAAATACCTGTACTTTCTACTTCTTACATGTTGAACCCAAATGCCTGTACTTTCTACTTCTTACATGTTGAACCCAAATACCTGTACTTTCTACTTCTTACATGTTGAACCCAAATACCTGTACTTTCTACTTCTTACATGTTGAACTCAAATACCTGTACTTTCTACTTCTTACATGTTGAACTCAAATACCTGTACTTTCTACTTCTTACATGTTGAACTCAAATACCTGTACTTTCTACTTCTTACATGTTGAACTCAAATACCTGTACTTTCTACTTCTTACATGTTGAACCCAAATACCTGTACTTTCTACTTCTTACATGTTGAACACAAATACCTGTACTTTCTACTTCTCTCATGTTGAACTCAAATACCTGTACTTTCTACTTCTTACATGTTGAACTCAAATACCTGTACTTTCTACTTCTTACATGTTGAACTCAAATACCTGTACTTTCTACTTCTTACATGTTGAACACAAATATCTGTACTTTCTACTTCTTACATGTTGAACACAAATACCTGTACTTTCTACTTCTCACATGTTGAACTCAAATACCTGTACTTTCTACTTCTTACATGTTGAACTCAAATACCTGTACTTTCTACTTCTCACATGTTGAACACAAATACCTGTACTTTCTACTTCTTACATGTTGAACACAAATACCTGTACTTTCTACTTCTTACATGTTGAACACAAATATCTGTACTTTCTACTTCTTACATGTTGAACACAAATACCTGTACT